TATTACAAAAGTCCTGAATAAAGTCTGCTTTACAATTTTTAACGTGTCAGAACAATATTTTAACAGTATATGTACAAAAAGCGTGTAAATTATAAGTGCAAAGTGCTCAGCTCCCTGAATTATCACGAAGTGAAGCACGGTATTTTTAACCACTCACTATGAACGCACAGACGCGGGTAACAGGGTGTGCTTGGGCTTCCATGTATTCAGGCACAGCTACAAAAAGTAATCATTTGGTACAGAGCCCACGATAAGATGACATTACTTCCTATTGCATTAGGGAATGTGTTATGTTCATTAATAGAGAAATTATTCCACAATAAAATCTGCTTATCCTCCAGAGACCTGAATTTGAATTTCAGTATGGAAAACTTTAGGGTTACAAACTATTTCCCAATTTCTCAACATTCATTTAAAAAGAACTATGTTATCTTTAAAAAAAAAAAAAAAAATAGAAGATAGAAATATTGACTATATAGTCACAAATTGTAGGTACTTCAAAAATTTAGATTTCTTTTATATAACATTAAAATATTTTACATAAAATTGCTCTTAAACTTATTAGACTGTTTTAATAGGGAATGGAAAGCAACCAAAATCTCAGATAAAACAGAACCCCTAAGCCCATTTATAACATACATATTTATGTCACTATATAAGCGCATGGCATTCATTCTTATCGGCACTCACAAAATGTTTCTTAAGTCTTATGAATACAAGGTGGCTGGCTCACCAAACAGATTTCAGAACAGATTTTTTCCATTTTTCATCATGCAAAGAGGACATAAGGAAAGTGTTAAGTACTTGTCTAATTCACCTGTGGCCATCAGCTCTTGGCAATGCACATTGGCTGCTTTGTAGTCATGGAAACGAAGTGCCTGCTCAACTAGAAGGATCAGAACCTGGCCACGCCTTTCTTCTGGGTCTTCACCTACAAACACATACAAATGACTCAATGGTTTCAATAGCATCAGTTGATAAGAGATCATTAATACTGTCTTTCAAATTAATTCAAAAAATAAAAGTAAAGATCAGACTGATTTTAAAAGATTATAGGACAAAAGGTCACTGCAACTTTGACCTTCCAATCTCCTTAATCATTGAATTAGGTCTCAGCCTCCTAAGCAACCAGTGATGAACTGCAGCGCTACATCAACCATCCCAAACGAAGTAGGTAGAAGAGAGTTTTCCTCCCAATAGGGACTTCGAAATTTTTGCTTAAAAAAAAATTCTTATTTTATATTTTTCCCTTTGGATGTTGTTTCTAATTATAACTAATAAATGACAAATATAAGGAGTAACACAAAGTAAAATGGATGTAATTTTATAGTTTCAGACTCTGCTAATCTTTTATTTACCATAGTGAACGTCTAGAATACATACCAAATTCAGCTTACATTGACACAAAGATCTTAAATTACTTTCCAAGGACTTCTTAGAAGTCGGCTTGGATGTCACTTCCTTGACAACTCCACACTTTCTTCATATGAAACACGCAGCTTAGGTGCCCCTCCTACGTGTCCCTTTACTTTTAATTCTCTGAACACCAATTTACTGTGATTATCTTTCTAAGAACACTTATGCTCTTAGAAGACAGAGAGGTTGCTTCCTTGCTGAATTCTCATTACCCAGCTCCACGTCATGTACATGAGAGGCTCAAAGAATGTATATCCTTAATGAAATGAGCAGATTCAATTCAGAATGTAACTTTTAATTATAAGACAAGTGATTCAAAATTACAATACAAATACAACTTGTATATTTAGGCTAAAAAAAGTTTAACAAATATTTTATATTTTTATGAGGCAACAGAACCTTAAAATTATTTTCAATATTTCCTAGGGGGGGAGGGACAGAAAATATGTATATGGTCTTTGCATTTTTAAGCTAAAATATGGTTTGAAAGAAAAAGTAAACATATCACAGAAAGGGTTGAAAGAACTCTGAAAATATGTCCCCATAACTCTTCTTTCTGTGCTTCGAAGGTTTAATAAAATACAAGGTAAGTATTGGCCCAAGCCAGTCGCAAAGTTTCTTTAAAAAGAGATGATATTGCACTAAAGTCCATAGTATTATAATTAGAACAAACACACTCATGTTTTAGTAACACTAATAATAAAGGGGAACAGAATACTCCACCCCAAAATGTGCCACTTTGGTATATGGATTGTTTTGAGCTGAAGACAATTAAGACTCAGTAGAGTGAGGAGGAGCTTTTTACGCCACCACCACCCCACCCCCTTTAACTGCCAGAAAGAACTTAGATAAAGGCCTGTACCAGAGAGAGAGCTATTATCAGCCATAACTTTCTACATCAGAAAGACCTGTCCTCATTGCAGGGCATACATCTGCATTCATTCTTCTCAACTTCCTGTGAACTGTCCTCCTTGCAGGGCATACATCTGTTTACCAAACATTCATTCTTCTCAACTTCCTGTGAACTGTCCTCCTTCCCTTGGAAGCCCGAGACTCCTACCCACTTCTCCTGAGCTCAGGATGGTAGATAAGCCTCAAATGCCTGACTGCCTTTGGATCTCATGTCTTTACGGGGCTCCTGTAGGTATGAAATCAATTTTTCTCCTGTTAATCTGTGCTATGCTAAATTAATTATTAGACCAGCTGAAGAACCTAGAAGGGAAGAAGGGAACATTCTTCTACCCCTACACTAACATGTGAGAAATGGAACACTATGTCAATAAATGCATATATCACACTTAATATAAAATCTACCTCCTAGATAATACTCTTGAAATGTTTGCATCTATTCAGAATACTTAAATCAAAAATGAAAAGGCCAGGTGTGATTTTTTTTTTTCCTGTGTCAACTTGGCTAGCCTTCGAACATCAGTCCAGGTGCTGTGAAGGTATTTTACAGATGTAATTAAAGCCCCTAATTGGCTGACTTTAACTGAGGGTCCATTGATTACCGTCATCCAATGTCAAAAACAGTGTAAGAGTAAAGGATTCAAAGTAAGAAATCTCATAACTGTGGAATCTTCAATAAATTATTTAACTTCTTTATTCCCATTTCCTCACGTTCAAAATGAGATTTATATCTTTGCTGTCAGAGACACAGTAAGAAGTAACTTAAACATGTATAAAAGCATAAAATGAGAATTATTTTTGTTATTAATATAAGCTTTCATATGATGGGTCAGTCATCTTAAAGTCCAAAGTACAAATATCTAACTGCTTTTAATTCTAGTAAATTCCAATCTGAGCAGGTGGTTAAAAGGAAAAAGAGAATCAAAAAATAGGCCCGAAAAGAATGATGTCTAGAAAAATACTACAAACAGAACAAAATAAGACTTGGGGAGAACAGCCAGGAGTGCGGCCAGACTGGAAATCTGCTCAAGAAAACGATGCAGGTGTCCAGTGTGAAGAAGAGAAGATTACGGGCAGCATGACAAGGTCTGGAGTACACGAAACATAATTTAAACTATGACCGGAAATTCTTCGATGTTCCCTTTGAAAGATGGAGCTTAATGCCCCTCCCCTCGAGGAGAGGCCGGTGAGTGATTTATTCCAACAGAATAAGGCGGAAACGTGGTGTGTTATTTCCGGGACGAGGTCATAAAAGGCACTGCAGGTTCCTCCTCACTCTCTGGTAGAGTGATTGCTCTAGGAGGAACCAACTGTTATGTTAAGAGGACACTCAAGCCCTATGGAGAAGTCCATGTGACACTTTTATCACACGCCAACCTTCTAGTCTAGAAAAGACAAATCCTTGCCAAAAAGCGGCTCTTCTGACACCGGTAGGTATATGTTCTGATGTTCACCTAGGATTGTGACGAGAACGACCCAGAAATCTTACTCGAGGTTTAGCACTGAAAACGTACCGGCTACCCTCAGCAACTCAGCGAGGCCCAGCAGCTGAGCGGATTGCTTGTAGCAGGTCGGGGACTGGCAAATGCACTCCTGGATGAGGCTGACCCGATCAGAGCACAGTCGCACTGCAAAAGAAAGACATGCTGAATAAAGACCTGGAGCCAGAGGCAAAAGGGGACCGTCACCTTCCTAGCATAGGACAGCCAAATAAACTGTGCTGGCCTCCAGGTCAACAAGAATTAAGGAAAACACCATTTTTTCTTCTAATCAAAATTTCTGTTGCTTCTGAATAATGTACAACATGGATCTTTTCTGACACCAAATTTCTAAAATAGCAAATTGGCATTCTGAAGCTAGAAAAAAGTGTCACATTTTCAAGCTTCAGGTCAGGTCTTAGGGAAAATTTTGAAGACGACCATATTTTTCTTTAAAAACTTCACATACTTCCTGTTATACATGCCCACCCCTTACCTCGCCCCACCAAAACCCGTTCCAGGTTCCAAATACCCATTTTCTCTCTCCACAACATCACCCCAGCCTGGGGGGCAGGGGTCCTCCAATTGCTCACTGTTCAAATTTATTAATCTTTCTCCAAAACAGACCCAATCCTCTAACTCAAGTTAGCTGTTAGGAAAATAAAACATATCTGATCACACCAGTTCACACTATGAGGTATTAATAAAACTTAAAGAGGTTAAAAAAAAAAAATCTTTAGTTAAAGAATGTTATGTATATGCTAGAAAAAAATGGTATATTTATTTAAGTGTCAATCTTTGAGAAGCATGGCACTACCTGGGAGGCTGGGCCCCAATAAATACAGTTAACAACTTAATGACAGCCATTGACATTAAATGAATATGACCTGTGTCCCAGGCACTGCTATAGGTGCCTTATATTAACCCCACAAGGCAGAACCGTAC